AAAATGAAGTCCTTCAAAATTTGGTGGGGGTGTATGGAGAATTGAAGTTGCATGTAATGTTTATAAAGTTGCATGGGCCGTTGGTTAAATGGAATGGAACGTCAGTAAATCTGCATCGAAAGTCAGTAAATTTGTATGGAAAGTTGTGTGGGAGTTGAAGTTGCATGAAAAGTCGGTAAATTTGTTTGGAAAGTTGGTAAAGTTGCATGGAAAGTTGGTAAAGTCGTGTGGAAAGTGTCTAAGGTTGCATGAACAGTTTGGAAAGTTGTTTGTAAAGTTGCATGGAAAGTTGGTAAATGTGCATGGAAAGTTGGTGAATGTACATGGAAAACATTATGGAAAGTTGTTTGTAAAGTTGCATCTAATGTTAGTAAAGTTGTATGGAAAGTTGCATGGAAAGCTGGTGAAGTTGAATGAAAAGTTGTTGAATGTGGATGGAAAGTTGAGAAAATTGCATCGACAGTTCGTAAGGTTGCATGGAAAGTTGGTAAAGTCAAATGGAACGTTGGTAAAGTTGTATGGAAAGTTGATAAATGTGCATGGAAAGTTGGTAAAGTTGCATCTAATGTTGGTAAAGTTGCATGAAAAGTTGATGAAGTTGGTTTAATTGAATAAAAAGTTGTTTGGAAATTTGGTAAAGTTGAATGGAACAATGGTAAATGTGCATGGAAAGCTGTATAGAAAATTGGTAAAGTTGCTTGGAAATTTTGTAAAGTGTGGAAAGTTGGTAAAGTTGCATAAAAAGTTGGTGAAGTTGTAATGAAAGTTGGTTAAATTAAATAAAAAGTTGGTGAAGTTGTATGGAAAGTTGGTGAAGTTGCATACAAATTTGGTAAAGTTGCATGAAGAGTTGGTAAAGTTGTTTGGAAAGTTGGTAAAGTTGCATGGAAAGTTAGTAAAGTTGCCTGGAAAGTTGGTGAAGTTGCATGAAGAGTTGGTAAAGTTGTTTGGAAAGTTGGGAAAGTTGCATGGAAAGTTGGTGAAGTTGTACGGAAAGTTGCATGGAAATTTGGTAAAGTTGTATGGAAAGTTGGTAAAGTTGCATGGAAAGTT